TATAAATATTTCTATATAAAATATTATATTTAATACCTATCTTTATTACTTTAGGTTATAATGTAATCATTACAACGCAATGGTCCGCCAACAAAATTCCACAAACCGCAATTCGTATATATATATATATATATATATATTTTATAAAAAAAAAGAATAATAATAAAATAAAAATGTAATAATTACAATCTACTTTTGTGTGTTAATTAATCATTAATTATGTAATTATAGGGAAATTATACTTAAACTTTTGTCATTATAGCGAATATGATAAGTTTAAAACTCCTTTTTCACTAATCGAGGCATTAATATTTAATTAAGTAAAAGCCAAAAAAATATAAATAAAATTTATGTAATTTTTTTATACCAATATTTGCAGACTTTATAATATACAATATACTTAATTATATATTATATATGGGTAAAAATTATAAATTATATGCTTGAAATAAAAATTATTCTTGGTTACTTTTTAATTTCATTTCTTTTGCATCTTAAAATTAGAAAAAGAAAAAAAAAAAAACCAGGTTTAAATAAAACTTATGGGATTCATGTAAAAGCTTTAATTTTGTTAGTATGGATAATATATAAGTATATATAATATGGATTTCTGTATATTATATTTAAATTCAACTTATCCTCCGATAAAGTTAAAAGTTATACACAGTATAAAAAATATATATATACATATATAATTGCCTTATGATTGTATATGTATAGCAGGGAAGAAACGTATACTTACACTTTCCAATTTTCCTCCCTTTTCAGGCCTTTAAATTGACAATGTGCGACCTTACACCAAACCCAAAACCAGAAGTAGGATTAACGAAGATGTACAAGAAACTATCCAAGACGGTGCGTGTAGTTTTCTTCATGATTCAAAAGAGTATATCGAAGAGCAAAGATCTGCAGATCTTGATGAAACGTGGCAAGGTCCTAGGCGAGTCCGTAAACCACTTGATGATCCACACTCACACCGCGCTCAGTTGCCGTCCTCACGACGTCCACCTCTCTTTCGTTTCTCCGTCTCCCAGGTACTACGAGTTTAGCTGCAGTGACACACCGCCGCCGCGGCTTTTCCACATCACCAGGCGAAAATCTCACAAGCGTCATGGTCGTGTGTCAGTCTCGCCGTCGCCGTCGACGGCGACTTCGGCGGGGGTAGAGAATGACGGCGGGGGATTTCAAGTGGATGAGGCGGCGGAGGAGTTCATTCAGAGGTTTTATATGCAGTTGAGGTTGCAGAAATGGATGGCCGGCCAGAGTGAGAATAATTTGGCTTGTGAGAAATTATTAGGCGTACGTTGCTCATATTAACACTTGTAATTCGCTTACTTACACTTTCTAAAATGTACAAGATCGGTGGGTTTTCGTAATTATTCTTTTCTTTTTCTTTACGTGATTTTTCATGATTATCAATGGGGTAGACCATCTGCATGCTTACACACAAAGGTCCAAGACCACTTCAACACAAGATTAAATCTAATTACAATCTTTAATAAGTTTGATTAGACTTACATATGACTTCAAGCCTTATACTACGTATAATATGCCATCCTCAAACTTGTATTATTATATATCATTTGTGTTCGGAGTGACCCTTAATTTCCCTTTCTCCATTTCTATTATACGGAGTCTAATATGTTTGATTAGACTTTCTCCATTTGTGTTCGTGAAGTTTGATTTTCAGTTGCATATAATTCCAAATCAAGTAGGTCCAAAACTCATTCCCGTACAAGTTTGTAACCTAGTCTTATTGACACGACTTAACCTAAAACAACAAAGATAATCTTGGTTTTTATGTTCCCCATTCCCTTTTACTATTTTTAAAGTCACTTTTAACATTAGGATAAAAACAACTTTCAATATGTTTGCTATGATAAAAATATCTTTCAATATGTATGATCTCTTAGTTTTAATTAGTAAGGGTGATAGATGTGATTCAACTAGTAATCAAACAAATATAAATTCCCTTTTGTGCCATAAAGCTTGTGGGTAACACAACAACCTTAAGGTTATATGATTATCCTATCGTGATTGAAGGCAATAGTCGGTGTTGTATGCTTTTATGATTTATAATTTAGTGTTAACATGCTAAGAGGAATTTATATATGATTTAAACTACCATTTTTCGTTGATATTCATTCCCTATATCATGTCTTTAGGATACGATAGTAACCATTCAATAAAAACACTAGATAAATAGGATCGTCACGAACACTAGTAAAACTAATGCAATTCCCTTTAGCCAAAATGAATTGCTAGTTTTAGAACGTAAGTAAAAAACGATATAATACAGTTTCATATCTCTCATAACTAATTAAAAATTTTATAATCTTTATAGAGAAACTCTAACCAATAGTCGATGGAAAGTACACTAAAAGGGAGAAAGATATTTACGATCTCGAAAAGACTTAAGAGGTAAGGCTCATAAGCTCTATTTTAAAATTTACAACTCATCAATTATATATATGTTTTTCACATATGGTTCCCTTTTCATGTTACATAATTGATTCTTTTAAGATTTTGATATTCCTTTCAAACCTAAGGCTATGTATTTGATTTAACTACGCACACCTTATTAATTTTAAAACAATTTTAAAAAATATTGGTTAGGCATAGAAATTGTTACTGGGGTGAGTGATCCATGAACAAATTCTTGGGACATTAAAGTCATAACCATCCAGAAGTTAAAGATCTTAATAAACTTAACTTGGATGAACTACTTTGTTCACTTATGACCTAGGAGAGGACCATGAAACAAAGAGATAATGAAGATAACAAAAAGAAGAAAGTGGTGGCACAAAAGGCTACATCCTTATATGAAAAATGATAAGGAAGATAACAGAGAGAATGGTGATGAGGAAAGAAATATCTTCACTCAAAAAAATTAAAAAATTTATAAGGAGAAGAAATTTAGTGACAGAAAACCCTTACTAAAAGGAGAATCAAATAAGAAGAAATATTTCATTTGCTACGGATGTAAAAAGTCTGGTCATGTGATAGCAAAATGTCCTAAACTAAAAAAAAGATCGAAAAAAGCTCAAGAAGAAAGCATTAGCAGTACATAAGTGATAACATAATAATGAATCGGAAGTGAGTTAAAAAAAAAAGTGTAATTTATGTCTTATATGTACACCAATTTATATTTTGTTTTTA